TTCCACGAGCCGCACGTATTACGAATTCTTTCTAAGGTTGCCTAATTCAGGCCCACTCGCTGAGCGTCGAAGACATTTCTTATCAGTAAAGAAATGTCAGATTACTGTTTATCTGAATTATTTTACTTCATATGTGGTCGTAGTTATTTTTGGAACATATGTTTTGGGACACTTTATTGATTTTTTACCACGTTTCGAGTAGAAGTTTGAAATAATTTTAGTAATTCTATGTTACAGATTTGTAGATTTAGTCTTTGAAAACTGAATTGAATCTTAGAAACCCAGTAAGCAAACTGTCTGCAAAGTGTCAGCAGATTGGCAGCAAATTCAATCTGAAAAATACAGTAGGATCTATATCCCCCATAATGGTCTTGTTCTGTCGACATAATCATGATTCTTATATCATGAACATAATTTAATCACAATTTAGTGGCAGAAATCGAGCAGAATCTGTCAAACATAGTAGTCTATTTGTCTAATTGCTCAGTTTCTAGCAATCTGCTGTTAAGTCATGTAAAAATATATTTATATATTTTTTGTGACGTTTTGTTACATTTGATATAATATTCAATATCAGATTTGTAACTTTTTTGCTGATAAAATTTATCAGCAGACACTTTGAAAAGTCTGCATAAGCAGACTTACAAGGGAAGTTTCACAACTGTCCGGAACCGATTTGATTCTCCATGAAATATGTTGTTAAACATGAAAATCTAAGAGACACGTATTTTTTTATACGTGTAAAAAATACGTATAAAAAAATACGTGTCTCTTAGATTTTCATGTTTAACAACATATTTCATGGAGAATCAAATCGGTTCCAGACAGTTGTGAAACTTCCCTTGTTAGCTGATTAGGTACAATTTTATTATACTGAATTTGTTGTCATGTACTTTATAGTTAGTAAGAATTATAATATTAATTATAATAATTTTTGTTGCAGATTGATCTTGACTCAAAAAGCTAGCTTTACCCTCTGTCAAGATGATAGGGGGTCTATTTGTTTACAACCACAAAGGAGAGGTGCTCATCTCCCGAGTGTATCGGGATGATATTGGCCGTAACGCAGTGGATGCATTTCGCGTCAATGTTATCCATGCGCGACAGCAAGTGCGCTCGCCTGTAACCAACATTGCCAGAACATCGTTTTTCCATATAAAACGCGCTAACATTTGGTTAGCTGCTGTCACCAAACAAAATGTTAACGCAGCGATGGTATTCGAGCTGCTGCTGAAGATCATAGATGTTATGCAATCGTATTTTGGCAAGATTTCAGAAGAGAATATCAAAAATAATTTCGTGCTTATTTACGAGCTGCTCGATGGTTAGTACTAAAGTTTGATTGATATTTTAATACCTATGTTATATGTGATTTTTCTTCTTGGAACTTTATTTATCTTTTTTTTACAGAGATACTTGACTTTGGATATCCACAGAACTGTGATACGGGAGTGTTGAAGACATTTATCACTCAACAAGGAGTGAAATCGGCCACCAAGGAAGAACAAGCTCAGATAACATCGCAAGTCACAGGTCAAATCGGATGGAGGCGAGAAGGTATCAAGTACCGACGTAATGAGCTCTTTTTGGATGTACTTGAATATGTGAATCTATTGATGAGCCCTCAGGGTCAGGTTCTTAGTGCGCATGTTGCTGGAAAGGTAAATTCTCTAAAGAAAATAAAATAATTCGATAGAGCTTTCACAAATTCATGATAAAAAATTGTTTTTCAGGTGGTAATGAAATCCTATTTGTCTGGTATGCCAGAATGCAAGTTTGGGATTAACGACAAGATTGTTATGGAGGCTAAGGGCATGAAAGGAGGCGGTGGATTAGGAGGTGGCGGTGATGATCCCACAGGCGCTAGATCCGGTAAACCGGTTGTTGTTATTGATGACTGCCAATTCCATCAGTGCGTTAAGCTTAGCAAATTCGAGACCGAACATTCCATTAGTTTTATACCACCGGATGGTGAATTCGAGCTGATGAGGTGAGACATGAACTTTAATATATTAATTTTATAGTAATTTTTATTGCAGATTGAATTTGACTTGAAAGGCTAGCTCTGTCAAAATGATATAGAGTTTATTTGTAATTATTTTTGATCACGTAAACAATCGTGGATATAAAGATTGTTTTTATTTACAGATACCGTACCACGAAGGATATATCATTGCCTTTCCGCGTAATACCATTAGTGCGCGAAGTAGGCCGAACGAAAATGGAAGTTAAAGCGGTTCTGAAATCAAACTTCAAGCCCTCGTTGCTGGGACAGAAGATAGAAGTGCGCGTACCGACGCCGTTAAACACTGCCGGCGTACAACTGATATGTTTAAAGGGTAAGGCGAAATACAAAGCATCGGAGAACGCGATTGTCTGGAAAATCAAGCGCATGGCTGGCATGAAGGAGACACAGTTGTCCGCCGAGATCGATCTACTAGAGACGGACACGAAGAAGAAATGGACGAGACCGCCGATATCAATGAATTTCGAGGTGCCATTTGCCCCGTCTGGCTTCAAGGTGCGCTACTTGAAAGTTTTCGAGTCCAAATTGAATTACTCGGATCACGATGTGATAAAATGGGTTCGTTACATTGGCCGTAGCGGCTTGTACGAGACGCGGTGTTAATGATTCCGAATCTCGATATCGAGGCATAAATAATTGTAAAGAAGTAATCTCATTGCAGAAGTCACGACTGCGAGTATCGATATTGGCTATTTCTCGTTATTATTTCATTGTAGCGCATATTCGAAGCGACGATTTGAAATTCAACAATTGTTCGAATGGTTAATTCCTAATCGTGCACGATACGTAGCGATGGAAAATGTATCGAAAGAAGAATTCCATTATCAGCACAAAATTTCTGTATAATTGTAGGAAATTTTTTTTTGTATATTATATAGCATACTAGCAAAAGTGACATTCGTTTTCATTTATTAGGAAAAAATGCGATATTTATATTAGGAGATAATTTTCAAACGAAAAAATAAAACTAGATTCCCACTTGTGTGAAAAAGTGTTGAATATATCATGATAATCGGTACCAGGCAGATTATTTCCTTCGTGCCAATTTTTCAGTCGTCCATTTTATTCACATCGATTCTTAGCCGTAATGTCGCACCATGCGTGGTGGATGGTATGAGCTATAATCAGATTTTGTTAATTTTTTGGAAATGGAAAATTTATTACTGAAGATAACGATAATTAGACATAATCATGAATTGTTTATATATATATATTTACTTGAATCATTTAATGAGATTTGTATTTTCCTTTACTTCGTTTTTACACCGAAATGATCATTACAAGTTTTTAGCATAATTCCACAATCTAAGTAATTAAAAAATCTTGATTCGCGCCTCTGGAATTAATACAGTTATGAGGATAATCTATATTCAAGAAATATAAATATATTTGTAGGATTATTATACATAACGAATGTTTTTTTCGGAGCACATTATGAATTTCTGTATTATATATGTATTAATATATATCTATATACGCAAATGATAATTATTCATTTTTTGTGTAACAATATATGAAGTTACGGCCTCTTTGTTACTGGAGTTTGAGCGGAACTGACCAAATCCTGTGTACTAGGGATCATTCGGTACAAGCTTGCGATGCGCTCAATGAAATGTAGAATGCTTTTAACCTGTTATCCGTGCATGAGAATAAGAGTAGAAAGAAGCATTGATCGATTGTACGAGCGTGATTGATTTCGTCTCTCTAAAAGAACGCTCGAATGCGTAATGAAATATATGTGTAAAATAAATTATCGTGCGTTAAATTTAATTATCCTGCTTTCTTTAAATTATCATCCTCAGTATTACGTGCAACAAAGTTAACTTGTGACACAACGAATGCAAAATCGATAAAATGTAATTTACTTAGAAATTAGATTTTACATTGGCGAGCTATAGAATGTAAAGGTCTGTTCTTTTTTATTAAACATTAAAGTATCCTCAGTATTATGTGCAACAAAATTAACTCGTGGCTCAATGTATGTAAAATCGATAAAATGTAATTTAGTTAGAAATTAGATTTTAAATTGAAGATCTAAGTGACACAGCAGCACTTGCAAATATATACACTTTTTAACGCTTTTTTTTAACGTTTTGTAGGTCCTGTGTGCTATTTCGGTCGACTATAGAATCTAAGGGTCTGTCTTTTTTTAATTGAACTTCTTGCGTAGTTCATTTTTTCCTCTTTTTTTCTACAACGTGAAAAGAAAAATAAGAGAGAGATGAACCGTGCGAAAAGTTCAGCTAAAAAAAACAGGCATTAAGTAAAGTGCCATTCAGGATAAGAACGCGATAAATATAAAGCAGTCAATGTAAGATGCTCATCTTTAATCGATGATTATTTACGACTTTAGATTCGCAAAAAATTTTTCCCGAGGTGATCGACGAGATACGAAATTGTTCATGTCTTAAAAAAAGAAATTTAAAATAAGTATGAAAAAACCTGAAAAGACTGTCAAAAACTGACTTTGAAATGCGCGCTACATGCTATTCTCGAAATATCGAATGAATGTCGATACGCGCGCGACTTCTCGCCAGAGCAGTATATCGAACATTTTAAATTGCGACGCCTTGAAACGTTGGACGTTAAAAAGCGCTGATTTTATAACAGAAAATTTTGTGAGTCACGACAATAAATTATTAATATTATTTTTAGACCGTGTATGTGAGAGACACAATCGATAAATAAGAACCCTATATGTCGAAGCTAGATCTTAAAATGCTTTAAATAAATCAATCTTGAATCACTAAATATGATATATATGTACTTGACATATAATAAATTATTAACTATTCAAGACAAGTTCTATTCACTCTCTTCCGTTTTCGTCAATCTGAACGTGAATTTTCACTTTGAATAAGTACGTCTTGATTATTACAGATAGCGCGACATTTTTCGACATAATTCATGGCCGTTCTAGACTCTTAAGAGATATCATGGGATCCATGGGCGATATCCAGGCGATATGTTGCGCATCGTTTGTCATGCGACAGATGAACAACTTTCTTTTTTTTCTCTCTCCACGTTGCAAGAAATTTAACTAAAAAGATCTAGTAGTCCTGTCCAAGATTTGTAATTCTAGGCCTTCTAGACTTTGGTTTGATATGTGTAGGTAACGTGTTTTCAGGCCACGATGTAAGAATATTTTTGCACCGTGGTTCAAGTTTGACGCTTTTTGTTTTTTATCTCTATTCCAAGAAAAAGGAAAACGATAGGTATAAACATTGGTATATATTTCAAGTCATTGCCTACAATTACAAATATTGAACAATACTCCTGAATACTGATCGTATATGACACTTCGGTTACGTCTCATACACCACAGAAGCTTACAATGACATTTGCAATGTTACGGCAGTATTGCTGGAACGTTGCAATCTTGCTGCAATATCGCTGAAATGATCTCTGCCGTATGGAGCGCGATTGCCATTGTCGTGGAGATACGCCCCGACGTTTCGCGTTTACGTTTACAGCGCGCGATAACGTCATCGCCTTCTATTCCGCGGAAACTTGGCGGGAAACGCTTTGAATTTCCGCCCGCGAGGTTTCTCGTCTACGTCCGCCCTGGCGCGTCCGCGAGGCGCGACGGCACAGAGCGCGATGACTCTTACCTTGGAGCGGCGCATGCGGTCCACGCTCGCCTCGCACCGCTTCGCTCTGTGCACGTACAACGTATACGTGTCGCACGTATACCTGTCATGGATTCCGAGGATCGACCGCGGCCACCGCGGGCACGCGTGATCCCGCGATTCCCTGCGTGAGAGTGTCGCGCATCGCACGCACGCACGCACGCACCCACGCACGCACGCACGCCGAGCCGACAGACGGTGTCCGAGGCGTGCACGAGGAAGCGCATTCGGACAAGACTGCCATCTTCGTCGTCGTCGTCGTCGCCGTCGTCGTCGATCATGAGCGTCGCGGTACCGTCGCGCGGAGGAAGGTGCCGTCGTCGCCGTTGGTGAACGAGCTGCTGGGAAAGACGCCCGAGAGAGTCGCGCCAACGCCGCGCACCGGGAAGCGCGGCGTGCCGAAATGATTACCTTCATCGGCGACGGGCCTTCTGTTCTCATTCGGAGCACGGATCCCGTGAGTATCCTGTCATATCGTTTTTATTTCTCTCTTTTTTTTTTTCTTTTTCACGCGCGTTATCAAATCATCTAGAGTGTCACCACCCTCTGATAAATAGAGACTCGCTAAATACGAAGAACGGGGGATGTACAGAGAATCGAGTGCGCGCCTATCGAGACTGCACGGAGGAATGACGCCCCATGGATGAACGCATAAAAGTCAACAAAAAATCAAAATGATCTTATTTTGATTCTCAACGTCAATAAACAATCAAATTTTGGAAAAAAATCATTATATTGACTTTTATAATGTCAAAATAAAGTCATTTTGACTTTCTCCCGACTCGGTGCGCTCCTTGGGCGAGCGTGTGCGTGTCGTCGCGACGTCGCCGTCGAGTTCGCGGTTTCGGCCGTCCGCGTGGCGGCTTTATGGTCGCCGCTATTTTTAGAGCATATCGTAAACCCACGGCCTGCCGCCGCCCGCGAGGAAAGAATCTCGCATTTTGTCCGCACGGGCACGTGCGGCGAACCATATGGACCGTACGGGCGGATTCGAGGCGGATGTTCCAGGACGATCGCGGGTATTACACGTTCACCATCGTGTCGACGGCGTGAATTTTTGGCGGGAACGTCGTTGGTGGACCGTTGAATGTGAAAATTTCTTTATAGTTAGCATGCTAGATTCCTGCGACTTTGATCGATGAAAGAACAATCAGAGAAAAACAGGTTTTATTAATCGAGAACTTATTGCGACACCGTGTCTCACGCTCTAACTTCGTTCAGAATATATTTCTGTACGGAAGAAAAATAAAATAAGCAACATTAGTCGACGGCAGTCTAATTGAAATTATAAAATAGAATCTCTTCCTAATTCATTGTATTTTAGCCTTTAGAGGGCAGGGTCTATTTTTAAAAATATCTTACAGCTTTTCTCCTTGAGTAAGATGTTTCATTTCATTGTATTCATTTCATTTTATTCTTTGCCTTAAGGTATAACACTATTTCAGCGCCACTATAATGTTCGTTCTATGAAGATTAATAAAATAAATAACATTTTGTTAAACAAGAGCATGACGTATTTATTTTAATTAGTATCAATATTGAATTAACAAGATTGAATTAATAAACTTCTATTTCTTGTCGAATTAACAAACTTCTATTTCTTATTGAATTAACAAGATTCTATTTTCAATTAGATCGCTGTCAGTCAACGCTGTTAATACAATATTTTTTGCTCTCACTTTTTTTTAATTGCTTTCAATTTTTTATAAATAACGGAATAGATATTTTTAATTAAAAGCTTTAGTATTTTTCTAAATGGAAACTAAAAGTGTGGTCAACTTTTGAAAATGTATATAATAAACAAGTTTCGTTATTTAAAGATTAGTTCACATGAAAATTAATTTTAATCGTTTGCTCTCTAATTAAAATTGTATAAATTGAAAATATCATTAAAATATTTGTTAATGCGCTTTGTTATTGCATTGACCGCAGGATACAACAACAATATTTCGCAAATTTTATGCGATTTTGCGTGGGTTTTATCTTTCAAGGGCGAGTAATATTTTTAAAAGATAATTCCTGTCGGAAAAAGTCGGAGTCATGCTCGCGCTTCAAAAGAGTTTCGCGTGTAAGTTCGATATCTTATCACCCGTGTAATAAATTTAGTTTTCGAGACAATAGCTATATAAAAAATAAACTTTAAGTAAATTATCGCATTTTTATTGTCCCAGGGGCAGATCAAGCTGGAGATAAATTGAGTTTAGGTTTTGTAAGCTTCCGTTATAGTGTCTATAAAATAATTTCGTTTTTCGAAAATATTTACATATATTTTACGTATAACATGTTATATTTATAGAACAGGATGTATGTTATCTCATTAGCTGTTCCATATTTAATTATGCTGGAAATCTCAAGAGTCCTAAATTATCTTTAAATATCTCGATCACAAATAAACGTAGAAATAATTCATTTTGACAATTTGGATTTAGTTTATGTTTGTATTCTTCTCTCCTTCTCTTAATTTCCTGTGCTAACTAACCTGGCAATTTGGCAATAATTAATTTCTTTAATCTCTGTCCTCTTGCCTCTCATAATGCAAACGTCATGAATGTTAACGTGGATGCGACGTAATCTTCTCTGACACCAGCGCGTGTTGTAGATACATCCCTTAAGGATTGCAAGACCCTCTTGAAAGATAATATTTTCAGAGCACAAGGTTAATCCCTTGGTCTTACTCTGCCTTGACTTATTGAAGCAAAAACTTCTTTTCTCAAGTCTTCTTACTGAACAAAGACTCTCGAATCGATGCGAGAGATGGCTGAAAATGAGAAACTTATTTAGTAGTTAACTTTCATGTGACGAGTTTTTTAATTCTCGTAGAGAGAAAGTAACAAGTTTTAAATATACAATTGAATACGTATCCATTCGTCAATCATTTTTAAGCAAGAGGAAAAGTTCAATGGCTTTGCGACGTTGATGCAATGTCGATGTAACATCAAGGTATTTTGTATTGTCAAACTGAACTCGTTATCTCGATGAGTTTATCGTAATCAGCTGTTATCAAGAGTGACGTGCGTTTCCTGCCGCTGGGGATTCTAATAGCACGTTCGAAAACGATAATAGCAACTAGCATAACTAGGAACGTGCATAGGAACATCACTTTGGTACATTTCAGACTCCT